AGAGTGAACATTTTTCGATAATATATTGGAAACGTGATGGCAATGAACCTGCTTTGAACCATAAAAAATTCGTTGACGATAATCATAGGGGTTCACCTTTAGCAAAACTTGGTAACCGTTTTGCTTTAGGGGCAGTGAGCTGAANATGCCTGAGGATCACACCACCAGAAGAAGCTCTACGTGAAGTTGGAAAATTGTAGTAACCATTGAACCAAGCTATATCGCGTGCCATTTCAAGCGACTCTTTTCGCTCTTCCTCCCCAGTGCAGACCTTCCTAGCGGTGCAAAACATATTTCTAACGACCGCTCGTTTTACGTAGAAAGGATGAGCTGAGTGATAATGGACAATGATGTTCTTATTGCTAGGCTTTCTGTACCACTTCGTAACAATCATATCACCGTGTAGCCTCACTTGAACGTTTAAGAAAGGAAGCCAATTTCCGGTCGGTTTCTCCCATGTTAACTTGATGTGCTCTGATTGTGAATTAAGTAGGCCGAAACACACATCTACTTCTTCCTGTGTCGCCCAGACTATGAAGCAATCATCGATATATCTGCAGTAAATATATATCATATATATCTCATTTCCAGTGTTAATAGTGATATTATGAAGTGTGATTGTAGCTTGTTGTTGCTTACAATGAAAAAGAACACAGACTCTGTTGTCATTCTCAGCCTAGAAATTTAAAGGCTCAGTTCAAGATAAATATGATTTCTGAGAAACCATAGCGTAAGAGTTTCATCGGCGTTGTAGAGGTTGCACTATCTCAAGGTACTTCCGTGTAGGAGGTTTAAACAACTTGTCGTGACAAACAAGCGTCGTCAGTCAGGCAAAACTTGCTATTGGAGATGATGTTATTAATTTCATTATGAAACTGCCTACTGGGTGACTCTCATTTCCATCGCAAACGAGAGATACCAGGAACTGCGTATTACCACCGATTATCTTGTGATATTTCGGACGGTCTTTCACCTTGCTCTTGCCTGATGTGGAGCTCTTCAGTCGTTCTCCTAGAGCCACCCTTGACGTTAAAATTACCGACGATGACTTGAGGGGAGGATAGTCTTCTCTGCAGAGCTTTTCCACGTTCATTCAGAAGGCTTCCACCTCCTCTTCTTCCTTGATGTTGGTCGTAGGAGCGAATGTTGCTAGAGCTGGCTGGATTGGAACAATTCTCACATACATATGTCTGATTGAGGTTGTCACGCCTTCAAACAAATCAGCGTTCATAGCCAAGTGAGTGTTGACGAGGTCTCTAATACAGCCGACACTTTTGCTGTCACATGTTCCAGAGAACAGTTTTTCTCCAGCTTTGAAGAGGGGTGCGGTGAGCAATGGCTTTTCGTCTTGATCGACCCCATGACGTCGTACCTGATCTACCTGAATATTCAGTAAACTCTTCCGCGCCATCTCAACCCTCATCCTCTCAAATAGCCGTTGCAGCTCTAAGATCTGAGCAGTTTCTTGGAGCGGTTCTATTATCATCCACACACGCAATTATGAATACTCCTGCGAGGAAATGAAATGGGTAAAGCATCCAACACAGTCAAGGCAGTGTTTAAATCTCCACAAACTCTTGCCTCTGTGCTGTACTATGTATATCCCAATAAACCATCTCTGAGACCGTTGTTCGGTTCAGAATTGGCTTTCATTGAAATGATATGGAGCGGAAATTAAATGAATGACACCTCACATGGTTGGCGAGTTGCGGGCAAAACATCGGCCTTGAGCCACCTCTGAGGCCCGCCTGACCTCGAAAAGGTGACACGTCTGTGGATTGACTGCCACTGATGGCCTCTATTGCTGAAACTGTTCTCATGAAGTTTCAGGTTCTTAGCCCCACAAACAGTACCCTCTTGATCGTCAGAGCTCCCTGGTTACAGTTCTGTTCTCTTTGTTTTTATGTGCTCAGCATGAGTTCTCACCCGTCGCATTGATCTCAACTGTAGAATGGTGATGATATCCAAAGCAAGGGACACAAAAAATATGAAATAGTTGTAGTAGTAGTCGACATAGAGCGCCAGGAATTCAGTACATGGCGTCATATTGTATGTCCAACCAGGTGGAGAGTGTATGTAGAAGAAATCACATCCATCTGAAAAAAAAACACGTGGAGCTACTTTGAAGAGTCGGAATGCATCAAAATAAGGCTACCTATGAAGAACAAGCATGAATACAGAAAGCTTGCAGTAGCAAAGAAGGCAATAATAACATTCGAGGCGTGAAGAGTGAACATTTTTCGATAATATATTGGAAACGTGATCGCAATGAACCTGCTTTGAACCATAAAAAATTCGTTGACGATAATCATAGGGGTTCACCTTTAGCAAAACTTGGTAACCGTTTTGCTTTAGGGGCAGTGAGCTGAACTTGCTATACAATTTCGATCTCACCACTCTAGACCATTTTGCTGATAGCTATTCATAAATTTGATCGTTCTCTTCTGAGAAACAGTGGTTCCGTCATGCGAATCAGTTTGTAGCTGCCTGTGTGGAATTTTCGAGTCTTCGAGAACTTTCCATAATTTTTTTAGCAAGACCTAACCCTTGTGTTGATGATATTCGTGGAGTAGCTATGACCGCTCAGCAGGCGCAGATGGTTTCACCCATCCTTTATTTGACATGATAAACAAGGCCGCTTATGTTCTCAATGGTGAACAATTGCGCATTACAGTTGTTTAGAAACGTCTACAAAATTAGGACCTGTTGATAGAGATAAACAAATGACAATGTAGAGCCACTTGATAAAAGAATAGTGATAGAGATCCAATTCTCAAGTTAATATAATGTAGGTCGCTTGGGATCATCCTGAATGTCTACATAAGCAAGCAGATTTATTCATGGCCAAAGACATATGAGTTTTTGTAAGTGGTGGCTTAGTCAACTCATAATTTCGGAATGTCGTATTATGAGTATTGCACCACGAGAAACCTCACCATATAGTCCAGGGAGTAGACCAAACCATGAAAATGAATAATATTCCACTATTTGAAAATGTATAGCAAGCAGCCAATCTGCCGAACGCATTTTTGAACGATTGATGGCGAACCATTACAGTGAATGCGAGAAGGTTACAGAATACACCTACCACAGAAATCTGAAATCTTTTTTTGAAAGAATATCATTTCATTGTCTAATGCGTTCTATACAGATTCCAAGTACGGTTACCAATACCTACTTGAATTATCATTTGTGTTTATCAGCATTGAGCATAATTGGGTGAAAATTTTTGTTCTTCAAAAAACTCAACAAATTCTTCGTGTGATAAGGTTCTATTTTATATTTCGCTCGCCTAATAGGAAATGCTTTGCTTCAATAAACACATTTGGGGACCACTTACTGCAGACCCGTTCATGCCCTTCACAATTTTGCTTCTGCTCAAAACACCCTATGCTTTGAAGGCACAACTCACGACAAAGTGATTTCCGAGATTTCTCCTTGGGATAAACTTGTGATCCTCGAGGCAAGCAAACCGAACATCCTTCTTTGCTTGCTGAGTGTATTCACACCACTTGCGCCGCTCGCGCGCTACCGTATCCGACGCCTTTTTTTCTGCAACTGTGCGGGAATTCTCGCATTCGGTCAATTAATGAATACTCTATGGAGTCTTTTTCACTGTCTCATCACTCTTTCTCATTGAAATGTCATTCCGTCTACTACATTTAGCATGCGCATCTGTAATACTTGGAATTGCAACCTTTTGCTCAGGTCAGATAGAAATGGTGGAATTATCCACACCCCGAAAGTGACTCTTGCGATCAGTATGACCTGAGATAGAAGTTTCAATTCTAGATCGCTCGTGTATCTCACAAGTGTGAACACGAGATTGTCCAATCGACTATTCTGCTCTTCGTGCAGGAGAACATGCTTTAATGTGTTGTGCCAAGACTCGGCATGATTTGAAGTTGAAACGGGCGAATCTCCTATAGCATGGAGCCCACCCACTCCTTCGTCCTGAGAAACACCGCTCCATGTACTGAAATATAGAGTTGACCGCAAGTCCATCCCTTTCAGAATTTCTCACATTGACGGCCTCTTCGGCGCCTATTGAACTTAACCATGTAATGAAAGCAGCATATTTTTGCTCAAAACGACTCGCCACAGCCTGGTGGAATAGTTCGCGAAAAAGTTGTAGCCCAAGTTTTGCATCTTGTGCCTGTAACAAGCTATTTTGATGGTCTCATTGAAGTGCTATCCCAGTGAACGGTCTTCAGTAATTACCCCCAAACTTTCCTTAAGTTTCCTTTCGACACATTTGAAGACATGAAAAGCGCACAAAATCTTCTGCGCTATACTCTGCGGAAAAGTTGATATGAATGCTTGCTAAATGCTAAATATAGTAGACGGAATGACATTTCAATGAGAAAGAGTGATGAGACATTGAAAAAGACTCCATAGAGTATTCACTAATTGACAAAATGCGAGAATTCCCGCACAGTTGCAGAAAAAAGGCAGCGGATACGGTAGNTTGCAGAAAAAAGGCAGCGGATACGGTAGCGCGCGTGCGGCGCAGGTGGTGTGAATACATTCAGCAAGCGAACAAGGGTGTCCGGTTTGCTTACCTCGTGATCCGAAGATAGCAAGGGGGACGCTGTTTGAAAAACGGTCTATAAAGGGCGTGATAAGGACCCAAAACCAGCTCAGTCGACGTACACACCCAAGGCGCACGAGTTCCCCCTTCATTATGGACTGCGCTATTCGCACCAGGACCTACGCGTTTCACGCAGGTTTATAGCTTAATGTAACTAGCGGTATGCAATGACAGCACGCCCTCAATGAATTTACTGACTTACCACTAGAAACGCTCCAGCTTCGATTAACGAAAGATAGAGAGGCTCTTCTGTCTCCTGTGTGGGGCTGTTGGTGGTAGTAGAATTCATGCCTAACACTGCCTAAAAAATTTCGTGTTTTTTTTGTGGAATCGCAATCCCACAATGCGATCTGCACGATTTATACAAGTCAAGTGAAAAATCTTGATCGTTTTCGAACCATTGGAATCTTTGGAAGGAAATATGTTGACCAATTTGATTGTATTTCTTCGTAATGAATGGCGGTAGCAGTAATGTTAGGAATGGTAATTCAAATGAAGACCTAACTGCAACCCATAGAATCAAACTGTCGGCATGGAATGTACCTGAAGAACCGTTTACCTCATGTTTCTGATCAAATTCGTCGACCAGACGTCACCGAAGACTTTTCTAAAGAACCATATGTGTGTATGCAGGCTACCATACAGGGTGGCTGAAAAGTATAGGACGCGCCGTTTGACGCTTGCTGGCACCCTGCCAATGGGTATTTCCAGAATCTTGTGGGACTTTTAGAAAGCTTGGGATCTGTACAAAAATCCATATGAGTCATTCGATTGACCGTTCGCCCGAACAGTCGCTACAGAAGTTTCTGCGCATCGACCCACTATCCAGAAGCTGCTCAGAGAAGGTTTTAGGAGCTGTGACATTGCGAAACGACTCGGTGTCCCCTCTCCGACCGTAGGGGATGTTACCGCTGCTCTCTGAAATCGAGGACGAGCCTCTGCGATGCCAAAAAGGGAACGACCGAGAACAGTGAACACACCGAGGATTCGTGACACCACCAGGAAGAGGATCACTCGCAACCATGGAGTCATCATGAATCGGTTTGCTTCTGACCTCAACATCAGCCGTCAAACTATCCAGAAAATTGCGAAACGCGACCTCAGGCTGAGCAACTATCGGCTCCGTCGAGGACAGTTTTTTCAGAGCAGTCCAAGCAAAGTCGACTGATAAAATGCAAAAAGCTTTTTCGAGAGCTCAGTTCGCGCCGCATCTCTGACGTGATTGGACCGATGGGAAAATTTTCACCTCAAAACACTATCCAATCCGTCAAAACCATAGAAAGTTGTTGTCAAAAGCTAACACCAGGTCCCCAAAACGCTATCTTGTGCATAGTAGACTATCTTCCAGAAGTGTTATGGTTTGGGCCGGGGTGACATCAGAAAGCAGAACAACTTTGGTCTTCATCGACAGAAATGTGAAAATCAACTCCGAGGTCCACCAAAAGGTTGTTTCAATGGACGCTCTGCTATCCTGGATCACTGAACACTTTCGTAACCGATCATTCGTCCATCAGCAAGATTGGGCCTCTCCTCATGCCTCGAAGTCGACAAAAGCCGTACTGGACGCGCACTTCCCCGGTTACTGAGGTAAAGACATCTGACCTTCCTCTCCGCCAGATCTCAATTCAATGGACTTCTCTGTATGGGGGTTCTTGGAGAGCGAAATCGCAGGAACGCTCCTACCGCACGTTTGTCGCTCAGAAGTTGGCACTTCAGAAGGCGTGGGACAATATCGACGTCGACTACCTGCGTAGGGTCGATT